GATGGATGAAACTTATATTCTACCTTAATCTACCAACGTGGTGTCTGAACTATCTTAGTATCCTCATTAGATTGTTCTTGAGGCCAGGGACCTTATAAAAATTCCATGCTTTTTTCCTTGGCTAATGGTATCTAACCAAGCCAGGCCTTAAACCTCTCATTTAAAACTTTCTTTGGAGGCCGGGCGCGGTGGCTCAAGCCTGTAATCCCAGCACTGTGGGAGGCCGAGGCGGGTGGATCACGAGGTCAAGAGATCGAGACCATCCTGGTCAACATGGTGAAACCCCGTCTCTACTAAAAATACAAAAAATTAGCTGGGCATGGTGGCGCATGCCTGTAATCCCAGCTACTCAGGAGGCTGAGGCAGGAGAATTGCCTGAACCCGGGAGGCGGAGGTTGCGGTGAGCCGAGATCGTGCCATTGCACTCCAGCCTGGGTAACAAGAGCGAAACTCTGTCTAAAAAAAAAAAAAAAAAAACTTTCTTTGGGTTGGAGTCCCCAGTTTTCATTCTATTGGGTTAAAACTGTCTTTCCCTTCTGGTTTTCCTTCTCGTTCTCCTTCTTCATCTTCATTTTCTTCTTTTTTTTTGAGATGGAGTCTTGCTCTGTCACCCAGGCTAGAGTGCAGCAGTGCAGTCTTGGCTCACTGTGACCTCTGCCTCCCAGGTTCAAGCGATTCCCTTGTCTCAGCCTCCTGAGTAGCTGGGATTACAGGCACATGCTACCATACCTGGCTAATTTTTGTACTTTTAGTACACACAGGGTTTCACCATGTTGGCCAGGCTGGTCTCAAACTCCTGACCTCAAGTGATCCGCCCACCTTGGCCTCCCAAAGTGCTGGGATTACGGGTGTGAACCACGGCACCCAGCCGCCTCCTCCTCTTCCTCCTCCTCCTCCTCCTCTTTCTCCTCCTCCTTCTTCTTCTTCTTTTTATTAATTTAAAAAAAATTTTTTTTAATGTCTTCTCTTTCGTTTTTTGTTTGTTTATCACTATACTAACAAGGGTCTTCTTCTTTTTAATAGAGATGGGGGGGGTCCTCACTATGTTGCCTAGGCTGATCTCAAACTCGTGGGCTCAAGTGATCTTCCTGCCTCAGCCTCTGAAAGTTCTAGGATTACAGGCATGAGCCACCACACCTGGCCATTACAGCTATATTCCACTCCTTCTACGCAGTCCCTTTAAGAGGCTTCAGTTGACCTGCCAGCTTTCCTTTCCATTTTATTAGTTTTGCCTTGGATGAGATTATCTTTAGCTCTACATTTAGCCAAGTTTAGTCCATTCCATCTCTCTGCTCTACATAGCAAAAACCCCCAGCCTCCAGCCCAGATTCAGCACAAGCTCTCACTTGTCCAGAGAGCTAGCATAGATACTAAAAGCCATTAACCAACCTATAAAATATAAGAAAAGAAGACATGGCAAGAAAGCTACTAAGTTTATTTTCTGATACTCTAGAAAATATATTTTTGATCCAAAGAAAAGCGATTGACCCACCCTTTCTCTAGAACTGCAAATATTCTATATATCCCATCAAAACAGATTGGCCTACTGCATATGCCTGTCCCACTGTATCTCTTTGGTACAAATACCTGTTCCAAACTGAGCCAACTAGGTTGTCTTTACAGAGAAGTGAAAATAAGTGTCTGTGGATGTCTAGATATCTAACGGGAAACTGCAGCAGCTATAGTCTTCCACATGGATAAGCAGCAGAGAAAGTTGGCCTGCAGAAAGTCAAGAATTAGCAGATGCTAGAAGAAAGTGGAAATGAAAGAGACAGAGAGACATACTGCCTGAGTCCCTTGCAGCTTTCTCTTTCCTGGTTCAAATACCTTTCTGGATTCTGTAAAAACACTCTATATCTTTAGGATAAGTGGCTCTCATCTTTTAATGTCACCCTAACTGTAGTTTTTTTTTTTTTTTTTTTTTTTTTTTTTTTTTTTTTTT